CCCTGCTTGTCCCCCCCCTTTCCCGCAGGTTCTGCATGAGCTGCACGCGCCTGGACGAGGTAAGGCACAAGGAGATACCCAAAGTGGCTGAGCCCCTGGAAGAAGGGGATGGGAAGATGTTCTACGCCATGGCCACCAAGAACGGAGTGCAGTACAGGGTGGGAGATGGCGTCTACCTCCTGCCGGAAGCCTTTTCCTTCAGGTTGGTGCTGGCAGGGGGCTGTAAGCACTTCTCAGGATGCTCTTTGGTCAGGCTTTTGGTAGCAGAGGACATAGTCTGCGGGTAGTGAACCCCACCTCTAAACGAAGCACCTATCCGCCTAAGTTCCAAAAGCTTAGCTTAGAATTAAAGGTGCCTCTAACCCCGAGTTCGCCTCCCGTCATTAACCTGAGCGACTTCTCTCTGATCGGACGATCCCGATGGCTGAGCCGCCGTGCTTCGGCAGATGAATCGGAATCCTTTTGTGCGTCGCTTTTGCTTCAAGAGAGCGAGCCTGGGTAGATGGAAGGTGAAACAAGCCCTGCCTGCTGCCCGTAACTACGGGAGGAGAAATGGCAAACCTCTCGGGGAAGAGGGCTGGGGCAGCAATGTGTAGGCACCTTGGTTTGCAGCCGCGCACGGTTATGTGATGGTCTGGGCTTTAAAATGCCTGTGCTGTGGAGCAGGAGGCTTGGTGCCCACCCTGCACCGAGGAGAGCAGAAGAGGAGGAAGCAGGCAGGCTAGGCAGCGACGTGGGAGGAGGATGTTCCGTGCTGCTAGGGTTTTTTGAGGGGAGGGGAAAGAGATACCCCAACCTCCTTCCCTCCCCTTCTCCCCAGCATGAAACCCGCCAGCCCAGCCAAGCGCCCCAAAAAGGAGGCGGTGGATGAGGAGCTGCACCCGGAGCACTACCGCAAGTACTCGGAGTACATCAAGGGCAGCAACCTGGATGCCCCTGACCCTTACCGCGTGGGCCGCATCAAAGAGATCTTCTGCAACATCCGCAGCAACGGCAAACCCAACGAGGCCGATATCAAGCTGCGCATCTGCAAGTTTTACAGGTGGGCGGCGCTGCTGGGGTCTGCGTTACGGGAGTGCAGTGTCCCCCCCCACCCCGAGATCTCGGGTGCTGGGAAAAGCCCTGCGCCGTCAGCTCAAGGTGCCTCGAGCACCGCGGCGTGGTCGGTCGCCGCGGCGTTCGGGGCTAAGCCCCGGGCCGGAGCCGCACCGCCAGCGCCATCCCAGGGCGTGGGTATTTACCCAAACATTTGCAGGCTCTTAGTCATCTCCCTCGCGCCACGGAGGGATGTGTGCGAAGAGCCTTGGCAGCGGGAGAGGAATGTGCTGACGCTCAGACTCTGTGTGTTTCCAGCCTGACAGCTCTCCTCGCTTCAGAGCTCTCTGCCTTTAAATTCGCTTACCACCTCCGGCGCCAATTCCCCCTCCCTCCTCTTAAGAGAACCCCCCCGCCCCAAAAAAAACCCCTCTCTTTGATATGAAACAAATCATCCCTTTGGTGCTGTGCCCAGGCCACGCCAGCGAACGTGTGCAGCCAGAGGAAATAAACCCTCTTCTCTCCGGGGAGACGGAGCGGTGCGAGCGCCGGAGGCTGGACCGGGGTGAGGATGTTGCCGAAAACATTTCCCCGATCCAGGTGCTTTTTCCCTGCAGACCCGAAAACACGCACAAGTCCATGAAAGCCAGCTACCACGCAGACATCAACCTCCTGTACTGGAGCGACGAGGAGACGACGGTTGACTTCCGCGCCGTGCAGGGCCGTTGCACGGTGGTGTACGGGGAGGATCTGACAGAGAGCATCCAGGACTATTCTGCCGGTGGGCTCGACCGCTTCTACTTCTTGGAGGTGAGGGGGCCGGGGTTCGAGGGGTCTGGCTGTGTCCCCGGGCGTGCCGAGCCCTCGGGGACTGAGCAGAGCAGGCTCATCGACCTCTGCCTGTCGACGCAAGGCTGTCCTACCTCTCCGGGTGTGTTTTGCACAGAGGAGCTGTCGTGCGGAGGGAGGATTTGTAGCTCGTTGCAACCTCCTGGGGACTAAGTCTCAGATGCAAAGGAAGCTTTAATCTGAGCGTCACCAGGAGCTGGCTGGAGCAGTTGCTCCCTATGGAGCTGAGGGGACAAATTCGGACCCTCGGGCGGCCGCCACGGTTCCCTGAGGCAACGGCGAGGGAGGTGATGGACCTTCTGTGGGTCCCAGCGCTGCGTCTGTGTCCTGCCCTTTGGTTGCGCAGCTCCGGTGGGGTGTAGGCAATGCCTCGGCTGTTCCTGAGCTAGAAGAGCTCTCTGTGTTCAAGCGTGCTGAACCCTTTGTCTTCCCCAGGCTTACAACGCAAAAACCAAGAGCTTTGAAGATCCTCCCAACCACGCTCGGAGCTCTGGCAATAAAGGGAAGGGGAAGGGGAAAGGGAAAGGTAAGTCTGCGTGGGGGGGGGAGAGGTCTTGGGTGGGTGAACCGGTTGGCGTCTGCCGTTACATGCTGCCGAGCAGAGATAAGACGTGCCGCCGACCAGATGTTTCTGTGCTCTTCTCCTTGCTCCGGCGCTCTGGCAGGATGCAGCGGTGTGGTCTGCAGCTCTGTTCTTAAGGCACCTAATCTTTTCCAAATAAACCTTGCAGCGAGAGCACCCGGTCCCTGAGAGATCTCAAAGCCTTTCGCTTGCCAACCCTCTGCCAGGGGCTGGCCGCTCCGTAGCGTAGGGCTTTGTACCCTGCTCCCAAGACGGGGAGCTGCCCTGTGAGTTATCGCTGCACCCGTCCGACCCTCAGAAACTCTCTGCCTGCGCCCACGGGCTGTCGGATGGAGAGGGATCGCACGGGGGAAAGACGAGAGGCTTCCCTTCCAAATGCAAGGGCGTATTCCGGCAGCGGCGGTGAAACAATTAAGGGGCAGAGAGGTGCTTGAAGCTGATGTTTCAACTGCTGCTGCAGAGGGGGAGAAGAATTTGCCTTGTAAGCAGTAAGCGGAGGAAATGACTTTGCCTTTTGATGTGAGCGGGGCTCTGTTCGCAGGCAAAGGCAAAGGGAAGTCGTCGGTGAGCTGCGAGCAGAGCGAGCAGGAGCCGGCTGAGCTGAAGCTCCCCAAGCTGCGGACCTTGGATGTCTTCTCTGGCTGCGGAGGGCTGTCCGAGGGCTTCCACCAGGCAGGTGAGCGGCAGAGCGGGGACAGTGGTGGATGACGAGTGGAGCCCGTGGGGAGACGGGCATCGGCGCTGGCCGCTCGGTTCCTCCGAGCTGGCGGCTGTGTTCGGCACGTGCCGGATCAGGGGGTGCGAGCCAGCGCTCTGCTCCTCCGCGCAGGCTCAGGATCCTCCGCTTTGTCTCCCCAGGTGTGTCGGAGACACTCTGGGCTATCGAGATGTGGGAACCGGCCGCCCAGGCTTTCCGACTGAACAATCCCGGCACTACCGTCTTCACGGCCTGCTGAAGCTGGTCATGTCCGGCGAGAAGACCAACTCGCTGGGGCAGAAGCTGCCGCAGAAGGGGGACGTGGAGATGCTGTGCGGTGGTCCCCCGTGCCAGGGCTTCAGCGGCATGAACCGCTTCAACTCCCGCACCTACTCCAAGTTCAAGAACTCCCTGGTGGTTTCCTTCCTCAGGTGAGCAGGGGAGGTGGCGAGGAGCTGTGTTGGGGTGCGGGCGCGGCCCCCCACCTCAAATGTTGCTCTGTCCTTGCTCGCGTGTCCCTCTCCCTCCTCGCAGCTACTGCGACTACTACAGACCGCGGTTCTTCCTTCTGGAGAACGTCAGGAACTTCGTATCCTTCAAGCGTTCCATGGTGCTGAAGCTCACCCTACGCTGCCTTGTCCGCATGGGTTACCAGTGCACCTTCGGGGTCCTACAGGTAGGGTGTTGGGTGACCCCGAGACAGTTAACCGGGGTGGAAAACCCTTCTCCTCTCACCCGGCTCTGCTGTGAACCGTCCCCACTGAAGGAGCAGTTGGCTGCGTTGCTCCTTGGCTTCCTTCGGTGGCTTGGGGGAC